CACTGATGGTCTTGGACAGCTTTGGGCGACGGCCCACTGTTGTTGTGAAACGGTCGCTGAGGACCCGTAGATGGTGCTGAACGGCCAACACCCGCGAAGCCTGTGCGCCGCAGCTAGCTTCTGCCCTCTTGGGTATCTGGTTTCACCGCTGTTTTCTTTGTTTGTTAGTTTGTTTGTTTGTATGGACCGAGTGCTACAGCCGTAGTCGACGAGGCCCGCATACGCCAAAAAAAAGCTGGACCAATCAGTCTGCACCAATGGTGACTCGACCGACACGGCGCTGTGCTTCATATGCGGCGTCATTATCCACACGATGGGTGAGCTTGAGCAATTGTGGAAGGATCCGCGCCCCATCAATGTTGGACGTGTTCCTTTCAAGTGCCGATGTCATCCATCACCTTCTGCGATGTCTACACTGAGAAGCCATGCATGGGTGGACAGTAGGACCTTGATTCAACGGTACTCGATGCAATGCACTCTTGTGTGGTGCCCTTGCGATACCCAAGTGGAAAGCTGGGCTGGACCGTTGTGCAATCCTCGATTGGCCCTTGCGACTAGTTGGCCTGAGGCGTTTTGCTGAGACTGCTCTTGTGCGCGGCCTCTCTGTCACATTGCATCCGCTGGGTATCCCTCGCTCAACCCACATGTCGGGAAACTGGGATTCTCCAGTACGACGCCTTGGTTGGAGCCGGTGCGCTTGGCTTTATTCCTTTTTGCCCGGATAAAATCAAAGACGGCTGCTTTACAAAGGGCACATGACAGCAGCGCGTCCTTTCCCCGCTGCTTGCCGGGATGCTCATGCTTCTGTGCAGCTGGTTGCCGCTCCGGAGAAGGCCACCTGAGAGACGCTACATCTAGAAGGTCGAACGATCCCTGCTGGCTAAGTCTGCAAGTCGCGACCTGTTTCACCCATTAGGATCTTTTTGTACAGTTCTTCATTATCTTCTTGCTTAATTTCACTTCTTACTGGGACCGAGTGCTACAGCCGTAGTCGACGAGGCCCGCCCACGCCAAAAAAAAGCAAATGCGTTAAAAAATTAAATGGCCCAGCTTCCCAATTTTTTTTGCGTGGGCGGACCTCAAAGACAGCAGTTGTTGCACTCGGTTCCAGTAAGAACTACAAGAAAACAATAAAGAGGTGCACGTGGCACAAGAAAAATGTAAAGGTGAAACCGGCCGCGACTTGCCGACTTACCCAGCAGGAATCGTTCGGTTTATTTGAAGCACAGCTTCACTCAGGTGAAATGGCCCAGCTTCCCAACATGGTGGGTCTCGCAAGGGCATTCACACCAGGGAGCATGCCGCCATCGGCTGTGTGCTAGCACCGGAAGATGGGCAGAAAATCCTTTGGGGCCCCGCGACGAAGTTTCCCAAGGAGAGCAAGCACGCCAGAAAGGTAAGGAGAGCAAGCACGCCAGAAAGGTGAGACACTGGGTTGGAGTCGCCCAGGAGGCGCCGGTCAAACACAAACATGTTAATCCAAGCCTAGCTTCCCACCATGGTGTGCTTGCTAGCTTCGTACATGCCATGCGGGCCCACCAGCTACGTCTTGGCGCACTGTCCCAGCTTCTTCGCGGGGCAAGGGCCAAGATCAGGTGGGGCCACACAGGTGGGCAAGAGAGCCTGTGCCAGTCCTCAGAAAGCTCGGCGCGGAATGGTTAGGACAAGAGGTGCGTGGGATGCATCAACATTGATCCTGGTTTCGTGTGACGGGCCTCACGTGACTCACGGCACCTTGATGCTCGCGCCTCCCAGAGCAGGCCCGAAAGGGTTTCGTCTCGCCTCTGGCGCGCGCGTCGGCTGGAGCTCTAACTCGCTGGAAGTCCAGCAACTCCGACTGACCCTCCGCATGACCTACATAGGTTTTTGGGGGGGTGTTCCAACCCAAGGTTTGGAACTTAGAGTTCCGAACCCAGGGTTCTGGAACTCCGAACTAAGAGTTCGGAGCGTCGAACCCAGGGTTCGAACATCGAAGTTCCCTCCGAACCCTGGGTTCGAACTTCGAGTTGAACTCCAAGTGAACTCAACTCCGAACTTCTTGAACTGGAGTTGAACCTGGAGTTGAACTCTGAAGGCGAAGAGTTTGAACCCAGGGTTTGAACATAGAGTTTCCGAACAGAGAGTTCGAACATAGAGTTTCCGAACCCAGGGATTGAACTCTTGCGGCCCGAAAGTTTCAACCCAGGGTTCGAACACAGAGTTCCCGAACCCAGAGTTCGAACGTTGAGTTTCCGAACCCAGGGTTCGAACTCTGGCACCCAGGTTTCGAACATAGAGTTTCGAACCCTGGGTTCGGAACCCCCCCCCCGGTCCCCCAGGGAGTTCGAACCCTGGGTTCGGGAACTCTATGTTGGAACCCGGGGTTTGGGGCACTCGAACCCCACGTTTGAGGGGGCTGCGCCCCCCCCCAACCCCCCCGCTGTTTTTAGAAGCTTGCCAAAAACAAAGAAAAGGGTTGCCAATGACCAGTCCCTGCCACAAAAGAAGCAGAAGCCACACGAAACCGCTTTGTGGGGGTTTTTGCGAAGAAATCAAAGAAAGACAAAACAAAGAAAAAGATTGTCAATGAGGAGAGAATGCTCAAGCCTCGAACAAATGAACCGTCCAACCCCGGGTTCTAGACTCCCCCCCAGAGTTCGAACGGGGTTCGAAACACCAACAATCACCAAACAAAAGGAGAAGCCACACAGAATCGCTTTGTGGGGGGTTTTGCGAAGAAAATTAACTGAGAGCACAATGACAGAAACCACAAACTCAAACGCAAGCACAAACAAAAGAAGAAGAAGCCACACGAAATCGCTTAATGGGGTTTTTGCGAAGAAAATAAAATGAGAGAACAAGAATCAATGATACAAGAGTTCGAACTCTGGGTTCGGAAACTCCATGCTCGAACTCCGGGTTGTGGACTTGCTGGGAAAGCGGGAGGAGTTCCCGAACCCGGGGTTCGAACATGGAGTTCTCCAAACCCCGGGTTCGAACATAGAGTTCCCGAACCCAGGGTTCGAACATAGAGTTCCCGAACCCCGGGTTCGAACATAGAGTTCTCGAACCCAGGGTTTGAACATAGAGTTCAAACTCCAGGTTCAACTTGGGTTCGAGAAGTTCGAACCCAGGGTTCAACCCTGAGTTCCGGAGTTATATGTTCTCCCCCCCCCCCCGGGTCCCCCGGGAGTTTGAACCCTGGGTTCCGGAACACTCCAAAAACCTATGCTCCCGCATGACGCCGACCAAGCGGTTGGAGACACCTAGGAACTGCGCAGTGGGCGCCCGGTTCGACCCTATCCCCAGTTAGGGTTTTGGGTCTTTTGTAGCACGGTTAGATGACAAGCCATCACTCGGCAGTTGCTTTGCACCACAGCGTCGCAGCAGTTTGCAGAATATCACAGTCTTGCAACTTGGCTGGCGCAGCGCACTGGATGTTGCGACCGATCCAATTGATCGTGCGGCTTGCCTTTCAAGTGCGCTCCACCATTGTCCCAATCGATCTTGAGGCTTTGATCTGCTGGCTTCGGCGTCCCGCCTCGCACAGGACGGTCCTTTAGGCTCGGACTTCCGCGCTGCGGCCATCCAGTCTGCACTGATTGACATGCAGCCGACCTCCATTGCCGGTTCGCGTCTCGCTCCGATCAGCCCTTGCCCTTGCGAGACCCACCAAAGTTGGGCGTGACAATTTTCAATAATCGGGCCACTTCTCTTCTCTGGAGGGAAGGCACTTTGTGGCTTATATCCTGGGCCCTTGTGATACCCACGCGAGGGAAGCTGGGCCTGCGGTACAAGCGGAGCCAAGACACGGCTGGTTGGCATGCACCCAGCTGCATTGTTCGCGGCATTGCGCTATTGTGCTGCCCTTGCGAGATCCACCGGGCTTGGATTAAAGTGCTTGTGTGTGCTGCACCGGCACGCTCTGTCTGGGCGACTCCAACCCAGTGCCTCACCCTTTTGGCGTGCTTGCTTTCCTTAGGAAACTCTCGAGATCACCAAAAGGATTTCAGCTTTGTTCCGGTGCTGGCACACAGCCGATGGCTCAGCACAGCGGGTACAATGCAGCAGCATGCTTTCTGGTGTGAATTGTGCGTCTGCCCTTGCGAGACCATGTTGGGCAGCTGGGCCAGACAATTTTCTGACGCATTTGTCACTGGGACTTGTTTTATGGATGCTTGAGAGAGTCTTTTTCGCGAAAAAGTCTCGCCACAGTGTCGATCGAAGCAGGCCCAGGAGGGTTTTTTGCGTCTCGGCCGCACGCGGCCTTGGTGGAAGCAGTTTCACTTCCAGCCCGCGCGCGCGCAGCGCAGGCCTCCAGGCCGAGCAGGCCCGAGGGTCTTCAGCCGGAAGAGTCTCGCCCCCCGCGCACGCGCAGTCTCGGCCAGAGCAGGCCCGGGAGGGTCTTTCGTCGCGAAATTTGTGTTTATGACAATTGACAGTGTGACAGTTGACAGTGATGACGATGATGAGAGGCGAAATCAGGAGGAGCGGGCGGAGACGGAGATAAGGAGAAGGAGGAGTAGGAGGAGAAGGAGGGCAGGAGGAGGAGGAGGAGGAGGAGGAGGCGGGACAGCCCGAAAAAGTCAGAACCCCACACAGTGATGTGCGGAGAAACAGACAAACTGTAGAAAGCTGCAAAAGTTCGCAAACACCATTGGTCTGTAGAAGGCTGGTGTAATGTCACAACCAGTAAGTTTTTGCGGCATACTTTGGAGTCTATCAAGTTCTTCTTGATTCTCAAACACAAAAACGTTGCAACATGTGATGCTTTTACGATGTGTTTGGATTGTTGAACGTGTTAGCAACGGTTCAATCGAGCGACGCAAAACTGTGCTTGAACCATGCACAACATCGTTCCTGCCACTATATCATCAGCGTAATGAAAATTTGTGTGCATTGTTGTCCCAATGGGTTCGCGCGGGTGTTGTTATGACTCTGGTGCAATGTTGGAGAATGCCGCTGCTGTTAAGCACAAATGCCACCAAGCATGGTGGTGACAGCCCTTGTCGGTGTTGGCCATGTGCCACAGGCATGCAGAGTTGAGTGTAAAACTTGACGTGGCGCAACAAATCGAGGATGTTGTTTCATTTGAGTTTAAAGATATGTTTTCGGGTTTTCGCAGCGTGCAACATTTTTTGATTACTTTGTAAACATGTTGGTTCTTCATTGCAGGTGGCATGTTGCAGCCTTCACCGTGGTCCAGGCAGGAGTGGGCCGCACATGCTGAGCCGTCGATGTCACCTTGTTCCAAGACCCGCCACCAGTCCATGTAGAGGACCACAGGCGTCATCGAAAGGCTTCAGGGAGAAGTGGCAGAAAGCCATGCATCTCTTGTGCAGCAGCAACATCGACGGTTGACACGCTGAGCAGATTTGCCCTTCTTCCGAATGTTTATGTGAGTCCTCGAAGCCGACAAAGTTCGGATAACCAGAAGATGTGATCAGGCACAAATCCACCAATGTTTGATGCGTGTTGCAGGACAGGAGGGAAGCCATTTTGGTGATGTTCCAGAGCAGAAGCCGTGTGTGCTCAAAGATTCAACCGAACGACGGGGTTGCGAGCAATTCTATAACCAAGCGGAGGAAGAGAGAGAGCGAAACAGAGATGCACGACCGTGCACAAGACTGGATGGTTGTCCAGATTAGGGTCTCTTTTGGGTTCCCAAACTACAGGGTGCCGTATCAAGAGTAGATTTTCATAGGGTTCTCCACAAAGACTGCAATTATGACAGATACCCATGTGTATACTTACATGCATACGTCTGTACACATGTCGTATAAATGTCTATTATAAGCATACAGCATGTACAAGTTTGTCTTTCGATTGCAGGCTGCCTTGACGCCGTTTCCAGAAGACCCGACTTTTCAAGGCTGCAAGCTTTGTGTGGGTGTTGCGAGAGAACGAAGTTTCCTGTGCCTAAGGGCAGCTATTACGGGCATTTGTATTCCATCTGCTTCGAGCTTTCCTCAGATTTCTTTCGAGGTTTGGTGGTACCGGTTGAAGGGTGAATGCTCACATTGAGTGATGCTGATGCCTGGCACGTCAACCTACTTTATCCCGGAAGCTCACTCCGCACTGTAGAGGTGTGCGTCGCTTCCAAGAGGAGATTTACATCCCGGAGGCCGGCATTCCCCCGGAAGCAAGTGGGAGTTTCCGAGAATAGGGGACCCTAATATAGTACCCTATATAATGGGATCCTCATTATAAGGACCCCAAACTAAGGTACCCCCATTTTCGGAAACTCCCAAGTGTCTCGAATGCCTCGTTTGTCCGTCTTCGCAAGGGTTGCTGTTGTCTTAGAGAACCGCGGCTTCGCATCGAAAATTCATCAGCTCAAAAGCGCTGAGAACCCACTGGAAGCATCTCTTTGATTTGACGGTCGAGCTTCGGGCCATTGGGCTCTAAACACGAAGCCCTCTTACATCAGACACAGGCTGCTGTCGAAGACATCGGGAACCACTGTTCCAGCCTGGACGGACAGCCGGAGCCCCAGCTCGTAGATTCCAAACCCCTCAACCCTAAAACCTAAAAGGAAGATTGAGAGGGGGCTTTTTGTCAGCTTGAGAGCCGCAGGTGCAGACTCCTTCGACCGCTCACCCAGGACTTTCGCCCTTGTGTTCTCTCAGCTCTCCCGTCTCCTTATTTTCAGATGTGCATCCAGTTGTACATGCCACTCTCTTTCTCTATCTCGGTTTTCTATGTAGTCCATATAGTCTTGATTCTGATGGTTTATATATAGTACAGTTGATGTCGAGCCTCTCTGTCTCTCTCACTCTCGCAAGCTCTCTCTTGCTAGTCTTCAGACGTGAGCTGTGCTCAACTTCCAAGTCAGCCTTGCAGGACATACCGGATGCAGGCCGACACAGAGAAATCTTGCATGCTGGCTTTTGAAGGAGCCAGCAAGCCTCGTCCTATTGACGAGAGTTCAGCGATCCGCCGCTTAGACCCGGAAGGCATCTTCTCCTTGTTCGGTGCCCTCGACGGAGAGTTGGGGTTCTTCGTTCAGGACGAGGTGGGGACTTTGGGAATCTCTCTTGGAGTTCCTTGGATATTTTGCTGAGGTGTCGGCCTACTTCGGCGAGGAAGATCCGGCAAGGGAACGAGGCTCCAGTGCAGCCTTGGTGGAGTCCGGAGGAATTCAGGATGCTGCTTTCCAGGCTTCAGTGTTCGAAACGGCAAGAGGAAGTTTTCCTCTGTGCGTGGCAGGGTAGCGGGGATTCTGCAGATTGTCTTTGTCAGAGCTACAGCTACGGCATGCACTGCCTGGCGCTTCACCACCGCCAATCCCAACAACAAAGCCTCCCAGAATTACCAGAAAACAGATGTCGCTATTCAGGGCCGCGACCTGGCAGGTGTGCCGGGAGCCCAGGGCAGTAACACGGCGCAGTCGCCGTCATTTTTCCTTCGCGTAGCCCAGGTGCATGTGAGCTTCGATCAGGTGCCTCCGCAGGGCCCTCAGCCGAAGAGTCCTCGGTCTCATCGGGAGCTCCATATCTTTGCCTCTGTGGATTACAGCGGCGGTGTGTTTTGTGGCCGCCAAACCAAGCGTCGAACACGTACCAGCACAAGCGCGGGCCCTTCCCAAGGTGGCAGGTAGAGCCGCCTGCGGTTCTTCAGGCATGACATGGAAGGGCCGTTCAGTCACAGCAGTTTCAAACATGGCAGTTGACGGTCGAGGGCGGGATCTTTCATGAGCCTGCCGCCATGTATGCATGTATATCTGCATTGCTCGACGCGTGACTCCTTTGCCTCTTGCTGCTACCAGCAGGTCACGCCGAACTTGCAGATGCAGCTCGAGGGGCAGTTTGTGCTTCTCTCAGCAACTTCTTCGTAAGCAAGCGGATGCAGACATAAAAGCAAGCTGGGTAAACAGTACGACCAGCACAGTAGCTGTAGCGTCTGCTGTAATCCATCCAAAGCAGGTTCTCGAAGAAATCATCCATAAACGCGAAGAGCCATGAAGCCTTAGACTTCAAGACATGCATCTCTGGTTTCTACTGGTCTTAGGGCGCGAATCCCGAAACGCCTGAGCCTGGATTCCCGAACTTTGTTATTATGGCTCCTGAAGCCTAAACCCTAAACCCTTAGCGGAGTTCTGCGGACTTGAGGCCCTGGGAGTGCCACCTGTCGCAGGCGCAGATCGCAGGCCACAGCAGGCCTGGGATCCGGAGTGTCATGGAGTGTCACCATATCATGGTAATCCTAGTATAGTATACATTTTGCAGGTATTATTACACTATTCGGCCGTATCTAACGATATGAGGAACCCTTGGCTTAATTGCAGCCTGGGCTCTATCAGGCAAAGGTCCACTTGGAGGTGGAAGCGTCCATCGTGTGCCCCACCTCGCCCAGGTTGACCGGGGAAACGGGGTCCGTTATGAGTGGCTTTTTGCTGTTGGCTCTCCGACTCTGTTTTTTCTGGTTACTCTTCGGCAAGAGCTTCAGGTACATACGTTTCGTGGAGCAGCCGGTCATTGTCGAAAAGCTTTGGCTCTCGCGTGACCTACCCCTGGATGGGCATGCAGCATTCCCAATTATTCTCCGAGGCCGTCACAATGTTGAAGAGCACTGGTCGGTGTATTTGCGCTATGTGGATTTCTTGGAGCAGTCGTGGGTCAGCCCAGCCTTGACGCCCGTGCCGATCAGTGAGATCGTAATTCTGGGCGGGCAGGGCCTGCGACTCGGGTCAATGCGCCTTGGACATTGACTCAGTTTGAGTGGGAAGCGAGCAGAACACCCAGCGCTCAGCACGAGCATGAGCATAGGCCGCAACCCGGAGCCCCAACCCTAAGGTACCTCTCTGTGCTGGATCGTCACCACACCGGCAACGCTACGGATGCCATTCAGGCACAGGGCTGGCTCATGGCGCCAGCCCAGAAGAGCTTTGGCGCTGTTTGGAGGAGGTCATCATGATGAACAGAGCTAGTTGTTGCGATTCAAACGAAGCGGCGTGTCCAAAGATTCAAAAGGTCCCACCCAAAAAGCACCGAGGATGCTGTCACTCCACGACGTCCTGATTGGGAAGCTTCCTGTTCGGACGCACTCTGCTGTGCTTTCGCTTGGCGACGTTCGGCGTGGCGCGTTGCGGCTCCGCCCTGATCTCCTGGCGGATCCCACGTCCGTGGCGGCTCTGGAGGTCCTGGGCTGCTCTGCCTGTATCTTCAGCTACGCTGTGATATAGTACTTACAATACAGTGTTCTATACTAGACCACATTTATACTATACCCGATCATGCTTGTCTATACGTTCCTGTGCTATGCAGTGCCATACTATACTGGGCTGGACTATACTCGGCCGGACTGTACCATGTGATATTCTACCGTAACCTTTGAGGTGCCGCGGATCATCTCAAGGGTGTTAGGAGACCCCCCCGGATGCGAGTGAATCCTCGTCTTGAGCCGTGTAGCTGCAAATTGCGCAGCTCATGTCAAAAGAGGTCGGAAAGACACCCTAAGCCCAACACCCTAAAGCCTGAACCTGCTGCCCTAAACGTAGCCTAGCCTACGCCCTAGATCTCTGAAGCTCCGGGAACTTCTTGTCACAGATCCCAGGTCCCCTGACTCAGAGCTTCGTACTGAGCCCCTAAAGTCTAAACACCTTCAGAGCCCCTAATCCCACATTCTGAAAAACCCCGAAGACCAATTTAACCCTAAACCCCCTAAGCACCCCAACCCCCCCCAAACTCTGCCACCCCAAACACCCTAAAGCCCCACTCTGCAAGGCCCGCCACAATCCTAAAGCGCCCTTTCTGAGTCCCTCGTGAGCAGGTGGCTGCTCAACTACGGAGCATGAAGGCCTGAGCGCAGGTTGTTTTTCGGGTTTGGGGTGGAGGGTTTACTGTTTCTGATCAGCTGATTATACCTGTACGCTGTACTGGTACTACTCCGGCTCGACTTACACTGCCGGCTTCGGGCGCATGCTTTGCTGTTGTCCTCTCCGCATTAGGCTTGTGCGCCTGACTGTTCATGCCATGCAAAAAGTCGCGATCCCTGGGATGACAAAGTCCGTCAGAACGCAGTAGACCTAAACATGAACTTTGAGCCTCGAGTAGACCCCCAGGGCCGTGTCTCCCAACTAGACTGCAGGCCCAGATTTGGACTTATCTGCCTTGAAGCCTTGACCGCTTCTGTCTCCCAGATCCTGCCATGATTGTGATAGATTTGAATACTATATTCATGTCATGGATCTTGTTTTTCACCCCTGCGTGCAAGTGTAATGCCTTTGGGCTGTACTGGGCAGTAACATCTTCATCTTTACTGCCATCACGGCTATCCAGATAATCATTCTTTGTGCATTAGTCTTCGGACTGCGCTTGTGGGCCTTGACTCTTATCGATCCCGGTGAGGCTGTGCCACAATCCAGAAGAAAACGAAGTCATCTTCGAGCCGTTTTTTGACGAGTGATTGAAGCTTTCGATTTACAACAGCCATCTCCGAAGCTCGCAAGACTGCGGAATATGTGTGAGTCCACGAATGTTTAAATTGTACTGAGCCAGTTCCTGTGCTCACTCGTCGGTCCCAGCACAGTGGTTGATGTGGAACACCGCATGATTCATTTCGCAATGAAGGCAATGAAAGCACGATGTGCTTCTTCATGGTTAGTGTTCTGACGTTCATGATATTTGCAGTGTTGGCCGTGACATCATCTGCAATCTTCATTCGGCCAAATTTTCTTGAAGATACAACACACCAATGTCCAAAACTCAGACCCCAGACCCAAAGCCCTACAAAAAAGCACTAAAAACCCTCAAGCCGAAATGGCCCGTCTAAACCCTCCCAGCCGAAGGAGGCCAAGGACGCAGAGAGCCCAGTGCTCGCAGCCGGTACCTGAGCTTCTGAGATTTCCGGGCCAAAGGCGGCCAGGGAGTCGTTCACACAGTGTTTCGCGTTTCGGCCGGTTCCGGGTTTAGGACTCTTTGGGGTTTTGGGTGTCGGGCGTGGCTAAACTGGTGGCCAGTCGTACCCCACTATACGATTGCAGAAGAAGACTCTAGCTTAAGCCTTGGGCCTTTGTGCCCCGCAAAACCCCGAAGCACGTGTCTCCTCCGAAACCCCTAAAGGCCCGGAACTCAATACCTACAGCCCTGAAGCCAAACCTCACAACCGTGATACCCGAACTCTCAGCCCGTCTCAGGCCCCTGTGGCCCAGTTCTCGGATGCCCGCACCACGGCTTCGGCCATCGCGTTGCTGGACGCCCTGCTTACGGGAGCTCTCAAGTCGCTCGGTTTCTTTCAGGAGCGCAACAAGGTAATATAGGGGCCTTAGTAGTTAGAATAGGGTTGTGGGGCCCATTATACTATAGTTATAATAAGGAACCCCCACAATATTAGAGGTAACCTTGGGCTTGAGGTCGTTAGTGATTTTTGGGTCTCAGGTTACAGCAGTGTTTATTAGGTGTAGCATTTAGGCGTCTGTCGTGGTCTTCAGAAACCAGCAACGCCGTTTCCAGCTTGACTCGACTAATGCCCAGACCCTGCATCTGCCGTCGCCTTTGGAGCCCTTCTAGACAATTTCATTCTAAAAAGGCCTCGGAACACCAGATAACCCCAAAACCCCAAAACCCTAAAGCCCAAACCCAAAACCCCAAACCCCAAACCCTAAACGGCAAACCCCGAACCCTAAACCACAAAGCAGAAAACTACGAGGTTCCCGGAGGATATCCCCTTGGAAGCTCTGGAGTCGGATGCAAATCTCTACGCCTCCGTCTACGGCGAGGCCGCTTAGCTTCAAAAGCCCCGCCCCCCCCCCCCCCCACCCCCAAAGTTTTTCTTTGTTTGTGTAAACGCGTAAGCACCGATAGAGAGCGAGAGAGACAGAGAGAGATGCTTTTCTTATAAATATCGTTATGCATCGGATCTCCACCGCTGACCTCGACTTGGTGCAGGTGACGCTCGAGGAGGCTGCGAATGCCCGCAGTATGGATGATCTCTACGAGCCTGGGTGATTGTTGCATCAAGCGTTTTCGCTGTTCGTCCTTCCTTCCGGAGATTTCGTGAATGTGTTGGTAAAGGTGGTTGGTCTGCTGCTGTAGTCTGTTCCAGTTTTCCGCTCCGGTCTGCGACATGTACTTGCGGTGGAAGGCTTTATAAGTGGCTGAACGCGCCACCATTTTCTACACAATGAAAGGCTTTGAATCAGTCGCTCGATGCTTGGCGAGTCGTGCATGAATGCCATTGAAAGCCACACTAAACCAGCATCTCTATTGCACCTTAACGAAGCCACTCTCTGGAGTTTCCTGGGCCCAGTCCTGAAGACTCTTGTGCGGACTTTGCTGTGTGCGTCTTTCCAGCCTTGATGCTCCCATCGGCCTGTTTCCGCAAGTTTTGGGAAGAACAGGCGATTCCGCCGCCCGCCGCCCCCAAAGCCTAGACTCCACAGCAATAAACTCTGGTAGTATATTTTGCAACCTGTATACTAAGCTTCCACACGGAATCCTCAGCCCCGCAGGGCCCCCCCAAAGATCCTTGTCCCAGGAGCGGCTTTTCACGGCACATCGCATGGACAGCTTGGATCTGCTGCTCGGAAGGACTTCGAGGGCGGACGGGCTTTGTGAGGCGCTTTGGGGGGGGGGGTTTAGGGTTTAGGATTTAGGGTAGGATGGACTCAAGATCAGATCTTCAGCCAGATCTTGTCGAAATCTTCCTTGAGGCCCATAGTGCATGAGGTGGGCTAGCCTCGAAGCCAACACTGGATATCGGTGATGAGCCGGTCCCTATGGAAACTCATCGAAGCACCTGGCTCCAAGCCCAATAAGCCCTGAAGCCTAAACCGTCATAGGCTCAAGCCATTTGGCTCAAGCCAAGTCTGCTCAAGGCCTTTAAGCTTCCCCTGGTCAGCCTCCCCGCCTTGCCTTACGGATGGAGCCGGCTGACTCCCCGCCGGGGCTGAGTGCTGCGCGCTGTGAGGTGGATGTGGATTTTGGCATGCTCCGTGGACTACTTGCGCAGCAATCGGAGATGCTTCAGCAATCCAGTGTAAGGGCTATGGATGACGTCATGACAAAGGTGCGAAAGCGGTGGGAGCAGGGATTTGACTCGGTCGAGGCGAAGCTTACGGCGCAAGAGGAAGCCGTACACAAGCTTTCGGATCGGAGCAGCTTGCTTGAACAAAGGCTACAGCGGCTGGAGGATTGTCACGATGGTGCAGGAAGTGCGCCAACCATGGACGTGGCTGAAGTCTCTGACCGATGCTGTTTGCGCGAGGACAGGCCACAGTGGCTGGAAAGTCGTCGCAGCAGTACAAGGAATGTCTCGACAATGGCCGAGGACGAGAACCACGAAGGCAAAAGGAAGAAGGGTAGAAGACGCAACAGAGTGGCAGCTTCTTGCAAAGGGGTGGATGTTCCTCCGCAGCGCCCACAGAAGGTGAACAATGACGATACGAAAGTGGAACAGGGTCTGGTTGAGGACGACGCTGGCCACATTGGGGCTGCTGATTTGGATTTGGATCCCGGTGACTGGGATGCTGAAAGGGATGAGACCCAGATCACTGCCGAACCTGATGTTTCAGATGACACACACGCGAGCTCGACCGATGAGCCCAGATGGTGGAATGAACACTGGTATACACCCAACGATGAAAAGCTGAAGTGGTACAAGAATGCGTAGCGCAAATGGCCACGGGCCACGGTGGACGCAGGGACGGTGCAACGGTGGCAATTGGACACACAGAGGGTACAGTAAGCACTGGAGTAATCACATGAAGAAGTGGGGGCATTGGTGGTCAGGTGCACCCTGGAGCTCGTGCCAAATATGGGTCTATGCTGACTGCAAATGCATCTCTGGTGCAATCTTGACCCTAGGGTTACAGTGGTATTGGATGGGGGCCGTTGCAAATCAGCCTGACACTTGTGAGAGTGGGTCTTGCAGACATACTGCTACGGCTGAGTTTCAAGTTGAGCGAGATGCTGAAGGCATATGGGTTGTCTAAAACTGGGTGACCGATTTACTCCTGGTACAATGCTGCAGGCTACAGGTGAATGATTCCGATTGGGGCATGGAAATGTCGAGAATCTTCCACTCCTTGCACCATGTGCATGGCTCAGTCTGAGATGGCTGGGGTTCGACTTTGCATACGCTTTGCCTTCTGGCAAGTGAAGGTGCGCAATGGGGTCGAATTAGCTCGCCTCAATGAGGCTTCCGTAGGTCGTACCCGCGTACAGACGGAAAAGAGCCTTCAACAAAAATACCGTCACAGGCTCCTCCTATTATAGGAGTTCCAACTGTGCCTGCTAAACCTTGAGCTTCCTGAGGCTCTTCTCGCACTTTCTCTGGGCGAACTTCACGGCAACCCTGGAAATGCCCGGCGGAGTGATGGCAGAGACGACCTCCAGCTTCCAGCCAGTCCCTGGCCGTTTCACTAGGGATTTGTTTTGGGAGTTTATTGCCTGCGTCTGGGGCATGGGGAGGAAGGGCGTGGTTTGGCAGTCGCAGCATTGGAGCCGAACATGCAAGGCTGTCACCAGTGTGCTGAGTAGGGGTCTGGTCTGCTGATGTTGTTCGTAGGACCGACCATGCATGAGATGTTGTCCTGCGACTTTGCTTCATTTCCCGGCAGTCTGGACAATCTGGAGCTGCTGCTAGTCGGTTGTCTTGAACGGGGCGGGTAAAGCATACAGGGGTGGGTGTTGTCTCCCGGACCTGTGATGAAAGCTGCGTTGACATTTCTTGACTTGCTGCGTTCACCGGGACAGGTAATCTGCAATGCTGTTGTATCGTGTCATTTGTAGTCGCGACTTTCACCAGAGGCCGACGCACTCGAGCTGTCCCCGTGAACTACATGATTTCAGGGCGTCCGTGGCTTCAGGTCAACAACCGGAGCTGGCTGCCGCTGCACGAGAACAGCGAGGTGCGAGACAGGGGTACCAGATCAGAAGTTCGAGCAGCACCTTTACTAGTTGCGAAGTGAAGCTTCACACTTCCGCTTCTCCTGCTTAGTAATTATGGATGTTGCTACTGCTGTTGTTCTGCTTCTTGTCGAACTACTGCCTCCTTCACTTCCCTGCAGGCTGCTATTGCTGCATATTGCTGCTACTGCTGTTGCCGCTGACAACACGACATATTGCTCCTCCAGCTGCTGCCAGCGAATGTCTTGCTTCTGCTACTACTAAAATGCTGCCGCCACTAGTCACGAGTGTGACTGGCTAGTACCAAGAGTGTCTTGGATGTTCCGCCCAAGCTGCATGGTCAAATACCTGAAGTGTACCTCGCAGGTAGCAACGAGAAGGCGCCTCCTCATTGCTCACCTTCAGGCTCCTTTGGGGTAGAGTAGAATAGCACGAGGAGGTTTAAGCCAAGATGGCATGATGCAAGTGGGGCCGACTGCCATTATACGCGATGCCTGGCATGCAGACAAAGAACTCTAGAAGGCACATTGGCCCGTACAAGTAGCTTCATCATCTGCCCGTACTTTCGATATACCCTAGTAGCCCGTCGCACAGCGTTTGTGTTCGTTGTCATGCAATCGTATTGTGGGAGTGCCCGGCTGAGCTGTGTTCCGGAAGCACATGGCATGTCAGGGTGTTCCATGTTCCGTGGTTTCGCTGTATGGCATTTCACGTCATATCAATGCTCGGAAGATGCAGCCTACGTCATGTAGGTTCATGTGCGGACAAGAATTTTGTGTCAAATTGTGAACTGTTCTAGAACCCTAAACCCTAAAATCAACACGGGTATCACAAGGACCAAAGCCTTGTAAGCGCCTGCTGGCAGGAGCACACGGCCCTCTTCCTGCGGTGGCAGGAGCCCATCGAGGGAAAGCTGGCTTTCGTAAACAGCACGGGCTCTGTGGAGGTGGGACGGACTCGTCACATCGAAGACTCGAAGAGCCAAGCTTCCCGGAGTTTGGGAATACAGCAGGTCACCTTCCGCCTCTACGACAACCTGAGCTTGCTTGGTGTTGACTACTACAATGCAGCCTCAGGACCTCTGTGGAACGTGCATGTTCTCTGCTGAGCTTCCAGTCAAAAAGAAGTCCATGGGTTCTCACTGCAAAAGCGTTTGAAGCTGCTTCCCTGCAGGAAAATCCGTCCGCTTGGATCTGGACCTCCCCGACACTTGTCTCAGTCGGGATATGTCGCGGTGTCGCAAGTCAGCTTCTTCGGGCCGGAGTTGGAGCGTAGGGCTTAAGGGGTTAATGGGTTTAGGGTTTCGGTCCCCCGTCCCAGAGCGCCCAACCCTTATATAGTCCCAGACACCCGAACCCTTTTCTGTACCCCAGGCTACCCTTAGAACCCCTGAGCTAAGTGCCGAATCCCTCAAGACACCTTAAACCCAAACTTTCGAAACGATCCTAAACTAAGTGCCACGCCCCGAACAGCTCTGAGTCAGATCTTGTGGGCTCAGGATTCGGAGTATTTCCTCGCCGAGCTGCTGGGTCTCGCCTCACAGCTTCTGGTGGCTCGGGGTACGAGTTCTACTTCCATGTGTGCATACGCACATCTAGTCGTTGTTATTCGTATATGTATAAGTATATGTATATGTATATGTGTATATATATATATATATGTATATACATATACACATACATACATACATACATACATACATACATACATACATACATACATATGTATATACATATACACATACATACATACATACATACATACATACATACATACATACATACATACATACATACATACATACATACATGCACACACACACACACACACACACGCACACTGTATGTACAAACCCCTGCGAATATATCCAGTGACTGCTACACATTCGTGCATCTGGGTATGTATTTGTATGCCGGCATGACTGCATGCCTGTGTTCATACGTGCATGTGCGTGTGCGTGTGTATATATACATATATATATATATATATATATATATATATATACATATATGTATATATATATATATGTATGCATGTCTACACCCAATATGACTATGAACATATATATATATATATATATATATATATATATGTTATAGACACATATGCCGACAGATAGATCGATTGATCGAGATGGCTATGTTGTTCTGGCTTCCGAGCGCAGGTGGATGAGCAGGGCCGCCCCTTGTCGCAAGAGCTCGCCCAGGAGCAGCACGAGGCTGGAGAAGCTTCAGCTCGATTGGGTAAAGGCCGTTTCGGAGGCTCAGAGGATTCTCAGGAACTTCAAGGATCTCGGAACAGCTACCCAGCACAGAACGCCCCTCCGGTGAGAATGACCGGGGCCATCATGGCTCTCACTCTGGAGCAGGGTCGAGTGATGGACAGGCGCGGACCTACCTGGACTCCTTTGCGGCCCTGCTGATGGACCCGCAAAGTTTGTGACAAACGGGCAAGCAGTCGGAGCGGGACAGAGACGGAGAGACGGTGAGACGGTGAGAAGAGTGACCATCAGAGTTCTTGATTCGCCCCTGTCTGTGCAAGCCGATATCCCATGAACGTCATTGCACTCTGTTGTCGCACATCTTATCGCTCTGGCCTCTAACGATTGCATTGGTTGTGTTTTAAACAGCCCTCTACCCAAGACTGGCGGCCCTCGCCTGAGAGAGACAGAG